AATCATCCCACTTGTACGCGCCTAACAACGAGCAGAGTGGACCAGTTCGAGTGACCACGTTGGCTGAGTCAACGCAGTGGATTCAGCTGAATTGTAAAGTTCAGCGTTGGAGAGCAGAATCTCCGAGATGGTTTTGTTGCCTGAGCAAAGTAGAGCCCTCCAAGCGGGAGCGTGGCGCCTGCGCTCTGTCAATTGTGGGTGGATACCATTTTTTTGTGAAATAAGCATTTTATTTGTGTTCTCACACATTTGCATGTATGTTGTATATAGATATGTACATATACATTATATATGTATGTATGTACTATATACTACACTATGTGCATACGATGGTTTTTATTTATGTACTTAGGTATATACATATAGATGATGTAGAAGCAGTTTGCAAGAAACCTCTTCTGGTTGACTTTTGTTTGATGTTTTTGGGCAGCGTTTCATGAAAACAACCTGTTTAATTACGATAGCAAGTTAGGATTGATTTATGCGGCGCATTTGTTTGTGAGATTAAGTGGTCATTGTTAAATTTTTACATTTGAGTGCAATTTAAATCAGTCTATGACCCACAACAAACGCTGCCGTCGCACAAAATTTCCTTAACAATCAAATTAACTAAGTGGTGACTGAAAAAATGTTTGGCCATAATCAAATAAAACTACATAAGTTCAGACTTCTAAAATTTGTTTGAAAAACTAAAAAGTATGCATTCACGTACATATCGTCGCTAGACACTTGGGATACAAGTAAAAAAAATACATTGATGTTTTTTTTCGATCTGATGCATCAAATATTGCATCGATTCATATCGATGTATCATATAAAAACATCGATATTTTGGATGCATCGGATAAATTAATAGGTTCTTTCCCTAACAATCCGGACCGGATCCGGTAATTAGAGAATAAGCGAAAAGTTTGCTCTCAAAAATGGAACATAACCCAGAAGTACGGGAACGCAAAAAAAAGCACATTTGAGAAACAGCTGATTCACGTAGTTTTTGTTTTTTTTTCACTTAAATGCAAACTCTTGGAAATTGGATTTTGGTTTCACAAATTTGATTTTAAGTATATAAAGATGGAAAATACATCAACAGGCCATTCACTATTCCTAAAAAGCACCAAGTAAATGCAGGCAACATGTAAACACAAAACAGCTGATATGCACTTTGACACTTTATCCATTTTTACCCGGAGAAAAAGTCCGCGCTGTTTCGGGCAGGAAGAAGAAGACACTTACCATCCAATATGTTTCAATTTTCGCTCTCTATTACCCATTTTGTTGAGTACGGGAATGATTTCTGGGCTGTGCGTACTTGCAACCGCGGCGCTTCCGCATTAATTTTAACATTCGCATTCGCTTTCGGATTCGCAAAAATCAATGCGGATCTTTTGCGAATGCGGATATTGAAGGGACCGAAAGTTCCAGTTATTTTTTTACGAGTTAAACTTGGGCAAATATTTTTTATTCCGAAATAAATGTACTTTCTGGATAGTAAACAAACCGCTTATCCAAATTAAACAAGTTTGGTATCCAATCAAATAGGACTAAAATAGCTTTAAAACAGAAATGTCTAAACGAGGAAAGCCACACATTGAAGACTATTTCAATAAAAAATGTTAATTAATTACCATAGAACAAACATTGGGTCAGGTATGTATTTACATGAATTTCGGGTACTGTTTAGTACGTGGCCTAACTATTTCGAGGTATTGTGTCCAACGGGGTGACCCGATCCAAAAAAATTTGCACACACTTGTAGTCAAGTATCCACACATTATTTCAACACCTTTTTCTGTAATATTTGGTCACTAATTTATTTACAAATTGGGTTTGAAATATGCCCTTTTTTGTAAAATTCGGAAATTTGTGTACATTTATCACTGCTATTCTCCTTAAAGCAGCCACTTCATCAATATATTTTTATATTCCGATTCACTTTACACTTTCCTCGATTAGTTATAACTTTCTTTATGACTTCAATATTAACCAATTAATGACAATTCATTAATCATTAAATAAAAGCACCTTAAAATTACGCTTCTGACTTTGGTTGCATATGCAAATTAAATGGCGGAGTTCAGCTGTCAAACTCCAAAATATGCAAAAGAATGAGAGACAAAAGAAGATAAGATATAACCCAGTAAGCATTAAAAATATAAACCTTTCCATGGCAAATATTTATTTAGTCTTTAATTTAATTTAACGTATTTAATTTAATAAATAATAGACATCACTGGGGCGGCTGCCCCAGATTTACCACACGGAAAGGGAATTCTAGTTACCTCATCCTTTACCAAGGCTACATCACTGGGGCGGTGGCCCAAGTTGGTGAACACCAAAAGTAGAATTCTATTTGGTAAGAGTTATAGGCCCCTATTGCGAGTGTCGACTGGCAGTAGAATAGAAATTTGTCGATCGAGTCGATCATCTTTTATTTTGCTATTGTGTAACTTGATCGATAAAAATTTGTACTATTGTGAATGGTTGACAGAATTGTAAACAGCTGTTTGTTTGTTTACATTTGTTTCTTGAGTGTTTTATTTACATCATTTTTAAAATAATTGCTTTTATTATAAAATTTAAAAAATGGACACAGTTGAAATATGGTTTAGTGATGAGGAAGATGATGCGGAAGCTAATAGATTAGTAGAGTTGGCTAAAGCAAGGAGGGAATTGCGAGATTCGTCGCATCCCTTGGACTTGGAAGGTGTATGTACATGTGTGAGTTTTATGAATAGAAGTTGCGTTCCCGATGCTTCACGGTTTTTAGGCTTTACATGATTTGCAGGAAAAGCTGTTTTCCTCATTAATAAACTTTATGGAAGTTTAAGAAATACGGTACGGTTAAGTTTTTTGTACAATGATGTTGGGTTTTTGTGTCCAAACGCGTGACCCGAGTTTAAAAACTTTAACATAACAACATAACAAGTGTATTGAAAGAATTCAACTTTAATTTAAAATAAAGATTTCAAATTTCCGAGCACTAGTCAATTAATAAATTATGCAGTTTTTTTGTATAAACTTTTGATGTTGGTTCTGCGCAAAAACACTGTGGATGGCGTAGCCGGAGTTATATGCACAAGAAATATTGTATATGTATCTTTTCCAATAGAAGCGGAGCTTCCTACCCTACTCTTTCCGGAAATTCCTTTGCCTATGTCTTCACTCTCCTGCATCAGTACGACCAACCGCGCAAGTTGCCTTTTGTTGCTTATAATTTTTGATCTGTAATTCAGACACATACATGCATATGTATATTTCACAATTTTTTACAACTTCCAGTTCAATTGACTTACTTTTTATCCATTATAGTACCACTTTCTTATGTAAATTTTATAAACGCAAACTCCAACGACTAAAAAACAGCAATAGAAGGATGAGCGATTAAAAAGTATTCACAGTCGCTAATTGAGCGACTAAGCGACACTCGCAATAGCATCGATAATCGATAATCGCTTAATAGTCGTTTATCTACTGCCAGTCGACATTCGCAATAGGGGTGATAATCCTAAAGCGCGGCCGAAGCCCGCCTACGCAGAATGGTGTTCTCTGCGAAAGGTGTTCAGCTCCCCTTCTCTCGCCTGATACCCACCTTGGGATAATTTATTTTATTTAAAAACCTCACAGATTCTGTTAGTTGGGTTATATTCCACTTCCAACTGTTCAGTTTACCTCGATAAATGCCTAGGGTTCTGTGGGAGGCCCCAAAGGGGGGGAGGGGGCTGCGGCTTTTCGTAAAGTGGAGACTGTCCCCTTTCGAATGCGGGGGTTCAAGGGGCCACGCCATCTCCCCCTGCGCACCCACCCCGAAAACGGCAGGCAAATAACTAAACATTTCCCTGAATTTCTTTAGTATTAAGTTATAAAAAAATATAAATAGAGGTGGTAACCTTCATTCGTTATTTCTGTTTAAAAGCTACTTCAGTCCTCATTCATAAGATACCAAATTTTTTTTAATTTGAATAAGCGGTTTGTTTATTATCCGGATAGGACGTTTATTTCGGAATAAAAAATATTAGGCCAAATTTAACTCGGAAAGAAATAACTGTTATTTTCGGTCCCTGGAATATTGTGCAAGCGCACAGACGTATATCTAACCAGTAACAGAAGAAAGCATTAAAAATGAGTTACAAAAACTAACATCGAAAAACGCTGATGACGTGACTGGTTCTCCAAATTCCGAAACAACAAAAAGAATGACAATGAAGAATTCTTTGGAAAAAAACGTTGTTTATACAACGATTGTGCCATGATGCTAGATTGTGAAGATGCAAGTCAGAGGATACATCCGACATTTGCAGCCCGCTGAAATTCTCAAAAAGTAATTATTGCACCGCAATAAAAATAAATAAATATAACTTAAACTCCTCTCAACTGGTGCAGTGCCAATCGAAAAGAATTTACAATTTTGCCAAGTTTCAAGTTTTTCAAGTTTCTCGCCTCGAGCGAGTAGTTATATAAACGCGCAGATTTGATTTACGACCCTTAAAAAAGTTTTTTGTCAAGTACAGTGTTCCAATTTTTAAATTCAAGTACGAAAAAAACATTCAGTCTTATCATGAGTTTAATTTTCCCCGAACCGGTTCACTTTTCACTTTTGGTTTTCATGTACATATTTACTATGGGCGGAATACAAATTTTATGGTGAATTTTTTTCGGGCATAACTCAGGATAAGGCAGATTATTAAAAATTATTAAACTTTCCGTTTTTTATTTACCTAAATCACCTAATTTACCCATCTAAATTATTTCTTAAAAATACGTGACATCCGCATTCGCAACCGCTTCCGCGGATGTTAGCTGTTAAATATCCGCATCCGCATTCGCATCCGCGGATGTCTAAAATTCCACATTCGCAAAGTCCCTAGTCTGTAGCATCAAAACCGGTGCGGATTCGTTCCGACAGAATTGCGCAGGTGTGTGGATGCCTTTAATGTTCCCCAACGATGTTTTTCTGTTATAAAATATGAATTATACACTTTCGTTTTCAATAAAAATTAGCTTTATATAATCTTCATAGAAATATTAAAAAATATTTAAAGTTGTGCCTGGTGTAACATCTCCTTGTGACTAGTGTAAAGTAATTATGCATGAAATAAAAGTTTCCATAGACCAAAATTACAACTTGTTCTTATTTTTTGGAAATTTTTCAATAGATTAATGAAGACGTTTTACACGTAAAAACGACGCATAAAAAACTTCAGCGAAGAAAGACGCGTTAACTTATTTTCGAGGTCAGTTATGTTTACGGGTGTAATAGTGTATTGATTCCCCAAAGCGGTTTTGGGGAATGATGCTGAAGTAAAAATCCTTGGCCAGGTATAAATCTATGTTTAAGCGTCTTTATTTGCCGTCAACTAGGTTTACGAGCCTTTTTTTGTAAATTTTTTTCGTGCGTCGTTATTCGTCTCTAGTTAAGAAATTTATTTAATTTATGTTTAATCTTTTTAAACTCGTTTTTTTTTGATAACCACTAAATTTCCAGGTTAATATTTATCTTCTTGAAGCCAGGTGCTCCAACGTGACGTGCAGTGGCTTTAATTTTGTTGCCGAAAAGTTGCCTAGATATAACGATAACACTGGATCAAAATTTTTTGTTTTCTTTTTTTTTGTTCACCGGATGCCCCTATCCAACTCCTATGCAGAATTTTTCGTTGATTCAGAGAATTGAGTTAATTTTATTCTATTGGTAAGTGTTTAGGGCTGTCAGATTTTTTCTCAAAATTCAGTACTTTCGGCTTTTATAGTACTAAGAAATCAGTACATTTCCGTACACTTTTGCTAACGAAAAAATTTTACAATTCACTGCTAGTTTTATTAAACACACATTGAAACAAAAATAAAAATCACATTTATTTTTTACATATTTGGGTTATTAATGTTTATTATTTTTTATGGAAGCGTAACTCGTTCTCGAAAAACAAGTTAATTAGATTCAAAAATTTTAAGTATGCAGTTTCGTCATTCATTCAATTTTTGTGAAATAAAGAGTTGCAAGTTGTTGCTGATTTCTCCATACAAAAAAATGCTCGAACAAACTTTGTATGGAAGAAAACGCGTTAATAAAAAATGTCCATCAACGGTAAGTCCTAGCTACTACAAACTCACACTTTATTACACTAAAATTTAATGGGCTACAAAACTGCATACTCCAAAAAATTCTAAAAAATCTGATTAAAAAACTTGGAACTTTGATGAGCATTTGTTTAAATTCGTAGAATTTTTATAAATGTTCAACAAAGTTTGAAATTTTGATTTACATGGTTTTTTAGATAATAACCTACATTTTTCATAAAAAAAATAATAAAGATTTTATAAACAAAGAAAAATATCCAAAACTTGCTCTGTCTGTTCCATATTTATATTCTCGCCACGGTATATAGAGATCAGTACGCGATTTTGCGCACAGCTGTCGCTAGGCTCGGTCGGTCTGTTGGCCCTTTAATTACTCATTCCAATAATTATGTTAATTTTTTTTTTTAATATCTAGGATAGATGGATTGGTACATACTGTATGTGACTTTTTTCGGAAGTACAGTACTTCTTTTTGAGCCGTTGTACTTCGTACTTTGAAGTAAAGTCAAATGTACTTCCTTTTTGGTTGTTGTTGTTTCCGACTTTTCGCGCAATGTTTTAATGTTCAAATGATCACATAATATACAGCGTGGCGACGAATAACTGTTACCCAGGTTTTTTGAGAAATAAAAGGGTCCTTTAAAGATTTTGCGAAAAAAGTATTTTATTGATAATTTTCTACAGATTTTACTTTAGTTGCATTAATTAGTTTTTAAATTTTAATCCTTATTTACATTTGCCAGCAGTGTAAACTTTGAGAGAAAAGTTCATTTGGCACGCAAGTCTTTTTCAGGTGTATTTTTTCTTAGGCTTTGTATAAAAAAAGTACAAAAAAGAAAAAAACTGTATAAGGTTGGTCGAATGAATGACCGTCCTAGTCACCAGTTCCGAGTCTATTCGATTTTTGAGTATGAGGCCTTAGGTTGGACAGAAGGGGGAGTATAAGGGACTCAAAATGGAGAAAATTAGCCTATGGTTACAGAAGATATGGAACAAATTAACTGACGAAGACCTGCGTGCCAAATGAACTTTCCTCTCAAAGTTTACACTGCTGGCAAATGTAAATAAGGATTAAAATTTAAAAACTAATTAATGCAACTAAAGTAAAATCTGTGGAAAAATAACAATAAAATACTTTTTTTCGCAAAATCTATAAAGGACTCTTTTATTTCTCAAAAATATCTGGGTAACAGTTATTCGTCGCCACGCTGTATATTATGTGATCATTTGAACATTAAAACATTGCGCGAAAAGTCTGTCTTACGAATGCTAAGTCATGTTTTCACATTTTATTTACTGACTTTACAACTTTTTTTAACCGTTGGCATCATTTTACATTAGAATAGTGCAATAATTTAGCTGCTATTAATTTCGCACAGAAAAAGTAATCGTTTGACTTAATGTGCAGTGGTCAAAAAATTATAGCCGAACCACTTTTTTCCAAGTTTTAACGTATTATTTTTGTTGTCATTGAACTTTTATTTTTTTTATAAAAAAAATAGTTCATTCTTTAACAAAACCCGTATAAATCCAAGTTTCCAAATTTGTACAATACTAAAAAAAATCAATAAATTTTCGTGCAAATTTCGAACTTTTTAAAAATTCTAAAAAATCAATCGAAATTTTTAGCCATTTAAAACTCATACTTTATTCTTCTAGAATTCAATGCGCCACAAAACTGCATACTCAGAATTTAATTAAACAACTCGAAATTTTAACGAAAATTTGTTGAATTCTTTTTTAAATTGCATACATTTTTAAGGCGGTGTCACTCGATTGGTACATTTGTACAGATTTGTACATTTTATATTGGGCTATTTTGGTAAAAAGATGGGAAAATTTTGGTTTTTGTAGTTAAAAGATTGGTATAATACAGCGATGTTTTATTGAAAAATTTCCATAAATTAATTTTCGTGATTGGGATAAGAAAAATATTTTGGAAAATACCCAATCGTGTGACACTGCCTTTAAACTTGTATTTATATGGATGTGTTTAAAGAATGAACTACAAAAAACTAACCAAAATTAAATAACAGCAAAAATAATATTTTAAAACCTGTGAAAATTTGGTGCGGCTACAATTTGTTCGACTACTCTACATAAGTTGACTATGATTACTCGGCCGTGCTATCATAGTATCACAATGCCACTAAGCGCATTTTAAAATTTTCGGCAAATAGCCTCATGTGATTATCGATTATATTTTTTGTTGTTTGTGTGAAATATCTTATTTTTATCAGTATTTTTCTTTTAATCAAAAATAAAATGTTGAAATAAAAGTGAAATTAAAAAAAAAATTTGCCAGAACCCCTCCTCCCGAAAAAAAATCTTGGCTACGGCCCTTGTATTGATAACATATGTAGCTGTGTCGAATTTCAGGACGTTAGCGTAAGCGGTTTCAGAGATAAGCTATATGAGAAGATCAGTTTGTATGGAAGGTGCCACACCCCCTTTTCCAATGCATTTGCGATATATCGAAGGCTTATATTCAATACCCTCTATCTGCAAAAACTCAATTCTTCAGGAGAGCAAAAAAACTGTTTTGACAGCTATTTTTAAAAGCGTTAATAATTTTAAATACACACGCATGTCTTAAAAATTCACGCTATATATTAAAACTAAAATTTTACTTTTAATTCATTTTACTTATTATTGCAATTCGAATTATAACTATTTACATAAAAAAAAATTTGCTGATAGGGGGTTTTGCAGAATATTTAAAATGCCAGTTCTTTAGATGTAAGTATTATCTTAAACTAAGTTTTTAACACATAAATCATTGGTCTACAAACTCGTTCCTTTCTTTTCCAACGTAGCCAGGTAACCACATAATTTTAATGGTGTTTTGTGTCAAAAGAGACTTTCACGTGATCTCGAAATTATATGAGAATGGCTGACTTCCAAAACGTATCAATACAATGTTTGGAAACTGTTATACTGCGGTATTCAAACTGTTTGTATATGCAGAGTTGCGACACATTGCAACCATATACATTGCATATTTTAAATATTCAATAGAGCAATGAACAATTTTTCTGAATTTTCCATATTTAAAACACCAATGCTAACCAATAACAAACGAAGCATCAACTTTGTTTCTGATGCGCTGATTGCTCAAGCGATACGTTTCGATCGGCTGCGTTTTGGAACAGTATACATTGTCAATATTTTGTAGTTCGACGTTATTGAACCTTATACTTTGTACGTATACAAAGCAATTGACGTTTTGGAAGTCAGCCAATCATTAGCACTGTTAAAGAGGGCTTCGATGGCTGATTTACTGTCCGTGCATATGAAAAAATTTCCTTCGTTTTTAGAGGCAAAACGTACAGCTTCTAGCAATTGTAAATGCCGAACAGTACGCGGAAAAAGCACCGACGACAATTGTAACACCAAGCTCGTTTGTTAACGCAAAATAATAGCCGGTATAATATCTGGAACCGTCTGTGAAAATAAGCTCCCAGGTGATTTATGAGTATAGAACTAGGCAAATGCCCTTGCGGTAGTTTTTACTTTAGTAAGCATCGGACTAGATATGATGTCCAAATCTTGGTGTAGCTTAATATACGAAATAAAGCTGATTTCTCGCTTCATCGGCTTTTGAAGTGAAACTTCTTTAGCGGCGGTTGGTTGGTTGGGAGTAAATTGCACACGGAAATGGTGCAACGGAAATGGTTGGGGTTGAAACAAGTGCTTCTTGAGTGTATGCACATGGTATTAATTAACCAAACTTAGAAAAAGACCAATACAAGAATTAAAGTAAAGGTGAGTACGTACATAGATAAAGAAAAGGATAAAGGCAAAGGTAAAAATTAAAACAAAAACAAAGATGNCTGATCATTTATGTATACATTTGTCTATATCTATCTCGATTCGTTTTGGCTGTTACAAACAACCGTTATGTGAACAAAATTAATATACCCTTGTGCACAAGTGCGCTCGGGTATAAAAAAGGTGAGATTGAGGATACCGATAAAAGTAAAGATGAAGATAGACGAAGAAAGATTTAAATAAAGGTAATTGTAGAGAAAAGGATCTAGATGGAAACCCAAAGACTCAATGTGTGTGGAGTATTTCGGGATTTTAGAGAGTTTCGCGATTCTCGGGACTTATAGATAGTTATAACAATCGATATTTTTATCGGTTTTGTTTGCGAAATTTTTATCGATATTTNCACACGGAAATGGTGCAACGGAAATGGTTGGGGTTGAAACAAGTGCTTCTTGAGTGTATGCACATGGTATTAATTAACCAAACTTAGAAAAAGACCAATACAAGAATTAAAGTAAAGGTGAGTACGTACATAGATAAAGAAAAGGATAAAGGCAAAGGTAAAAATTAAAACAAAAACAAAGATGCGTAAAGATAAAGCAAAAATGAAGATCAAATTAAATTTAAACACTTAACTTATCTATTAAAGGGCAAAGGTGAAGGGGAATATTTAGATGAAGAAAATGATAAACGNTTTTGCCTGTTACAAACAACCGTTATGTGAACAAAGTTATAATACCCTTGTGCACAAGTGCGCTCGGGTATAAAAAAGGTGAGATTGAGGATACCGATAAAAGTAAAGATGAAGATAGACGAAGAAAGATTTAAATAAAGGTAATTGTAGAGAAAAGGATCTAGATGGAAACCCAAAGACTCAATGTGTGTGGAGTATTTCGGGATTTTAGAGAGTTTCGCGATTCTCGGGACTTATAGATAGTTATAACAATCGATATTTTTATCGGTTTTGTTTGCGAAATTTTTATCGATATTTTTACCGATTTTGCTATCGATATCTTCGGAACTTATCGATATAATAATCGATATTTTTATGGATTTTGTTATCGATATTTTTATCGATTTTGTTATCGATATATTTGGCGATTTTGTTATCGATATTTTTTATCGGTATGGTTAGAGATTTTGTTGTCGATATTTTTATCGAAGTTATTATGGACACTTTTATCGATTTTGTTATCGATACTGTTATCGATTTTGCTATCGATTATTTATCGATTTTGTTATTGATTATTTATAGATTTTTTTATCGATTATTATTCGATTTTATTATCGATAATCTATCGATTTTGTTATCGGTTTTTTATTGGCATTTTTATCGACTCTCTAATTCATAAATGTAATTAGAACGAACAGGGGTAGAGGTAGGGATCTAGATAGAAAAAATACAAAAAATATAACGTTAAGCAAAAGCAGATGTACATGTGTATCTATGTATGTACATTGGTTATGAGACCAAATAGATATTTAACGTAATATAAAAGCCCTAATTACCTTTACCAGTGTAGTTATATGAACTAAATAATACTTGGATGATAAGTCCTTTACAATATTTAGTCTAGCAAGCAAGCTTAATCTTACATTATGATAGTGTTGCTTAAAAGTAAGTTTATTGACAAAAATTATTCTTAGTATTTTCAATGTGTCAGTATAGGAGATAGGGGTGTTGGACACGGTGAGGGTAACTTAGCTCCTGGAGATTTGGACCATTTGCGGCAAGTCCTTAGTCTTAGAAAAAATATAGTGGACCTAAATTTCCCAAAGGCTATATTGAATAAAATAACCGAAAGTGGTGATCCTTTTGGGACGCCATTAAAGAGAGGAACAGTTTTTGTACAGTTATTGACCCGAACAGCGAACTTCCGGATGTTGAGGAAAGACTTAACAACGTTGTACATCCTCTCACCATTTTTCCAGCGGAATACTTTAGATATGAAGGGGGGGGGGCGGGGGGAATGGGTCCGTAGTTAGAAATTAGTGAACTGTTTCTATTTAGTTTGGCAATAGGAATAATTATAGCAGTTTTCCACTCTTGGTGACCCTTGAGATAGAAAGGGTAATGGAGTTTAATGACTCTATGTTTGACGGGATATGGACGATTTTTTTGTTGTATCAAATTTGGTTTCAGTTGAACAGATATGCCGCATTAGGTAGAAATAGTTTAGCCTGGGCAAAACTATCTTGCCCTGAGATCGGGTTTTACCGGTAACATATACATACATACATACATAGGCACATGTAACTTGCCTGCCACAAAAAATGTTAATAAAAAAAAATTTCTAGCAAAAGTGTGTAGATAGAGGATTTTGCTCTTATAACAAAATGTTATTGCAGATAGTGGAATTTTCAAAATGAGAATATAATAACATTAAAGCTATATTTTAAGTTTGACATTATTGTCATGGCTCACGTCACCAGCAAAAACTCATTTTCATAAAAATTGCAGAGAGGGTATTGAATATAAGCCCTCGATATGCATCAGTGCTAAGTTGCAGTTCCTCCAGCGTAATCGCTTTTAGAGATATTTCGTTTTTTTTACGTTTTAGTCTGTATAAGAATTTTAGGAATATCCTGAGCTACATACCGAGTAAACTTTTGGTAGGAAATTTTTTTTCAAGGTGCTG